CTGGGGGGGACAAGAGTTGAAACTTGATAACTGAACTGGTTTTTATTTACTATGTCTGAAAATGTAGTTGGGTGTTTAAATCTCTGGGGGATTTGGACTGATAGTAATGAATTTACAGGAGTGAACTCGGACAGAGGACAAGAGCTAGAGTTTTATAATTGTTTACATCATATTTACTATGTCTGAAATACAGAGGGTAAAAATTTGGGGGAAATTGATGGGTTATTTACAAAGACTTGAGGGTGGAAGAGGGTGGGGGGACGAGAGCTGGAGCTCAGTAACTGACTTGATCTTATTTTACTATGACTGAAATATGACTATTTAAAATTTCAGGGGGATTGGACTGCTAGTGGCGAAAATGTGGTCTCTGCCAAATTTGGGTCTTCAATTGGAACTCTGATTAATTTTGATCAAGAACTGGACTCTGATGAATTTTGGCACAAAGTAGACTCTAGCGAATTTGAGCATAAACTGGACTCTGACGAAAATTGGGTATAAAATGGACTCTGTCAAATTTTCACAGATTACAGGACACTGATGAAATTTGCTCTCAAAGGATACTCTGGCGAATTTCTGTTGATAATTGGACTCTGATGAAATTTGAGCTTAAAACTGTCTCTGACTAATTTTGCTCTCAAAGTAGACTCTGGCGAATTTCTGTTGATAATTGGACTCTGATGAAATATGAGCTTAAAACTGTCTCTGACGAATTTTGCTCTCAAAGTAGACTCCGGCGAATTTCTGTTGATAATTGGACTCTGATGAAATTTGAGCTTAAAACTGTCTCTGACTAATTTTGCTCTCAAAGTAGACTCTGGCGAATTTCTGTTGATAATTGGACTCTGATGAAATATGAGCTTAAAACTGTCTCTGACGAATTTTGCTCTCAAAGTAGACTCCGGCGAATTTCTGTTGATAATTGGACTCTGATGAAATTTGAGCTTAAAACTGTCTCTGACTAATTTTGGTCTTTACAGGTGAAATAGCCGTAAATGGATATAAAACTAAATGTTATGGAAAAGTTGTCTGTTTTCCTTAATAAAACATCTAAGACAATATTCTCTGAAAATGGTCCTTTTACAAATTCGGTCATAAACATATAAATAAACTTCTATGATTATTTGAAACTCTGAAAATAGCTGTAAGGAAATAGGAGGAGAGAGAGAGAGAGAGAGAGGGACGGTCCAGATATTATTATGGAGAAGATAAGATACGATTACCGACGTGACCTGAAGGCCGCGTCTGGCTGACGTCTAAAGTAAACACAGGTGAGGCGACAGATTGCTATTTCTCCCATAAGACCTTAACAAACTTCTAAGTCTCGGAAATTATTTTCATCATAAGCCCTTTAACAAACTTCTAAAATCTGTGACACAAAATTTACCTGAAAACCCTGGCTCACAGACACGATATTTCCCAGAAAAAAAATATCGTCTGTGGACTGTACAGTCCACAGGGGTCCTCTGGCCAAAAAAAAAATATCGTCTGTGGACTGTACAGTCCACAGGGGTCCTCTGGCCAAAAAAAAATATCGTCTGTGGACTGTACTCCCTACTACTGATAATGGCTATGAGAAAGTTGGTATGAGCCATGGCGAGGAGTCGAACCTGTGCTCTGAGCACTACCAAGCACACGCCTTATACCACTGCTCTGAGTACTACCAAGCACACGCCTTATACCACTGCTCTGAGCACTACCAAGCACACGCCTTATACCACTGCTCTGAGTACTACCAAGCACACGCCTTATACCACTGCTCTGAGTACTACCAAGCACACACCTTATACCACTGCTCTGAGTACTACCAAGCACACGCCTTATACCACTGCTCTGAGCACTACCAAGCACACGCCTTATACCACTGCTCTGAGTACTACCAAGCACACGCCTTATACCACTGCTCTGAGTACTACCAAGCACACGCCTTATACCACTGCTCTGAGTACTACCAAGCACACACCTTATACCACTGCTCTGAGTACTACCAAGCACACACCTTATACCACTGTTCTGAGTACTACCAAGCACACACCTTATACCACTGCTCTGAGTACTACCAAGCACACACCTTATACCACTGCTCTGAGTACTACCAAGCACACGCCTTATACCACTGCTCTGAGCACTACCAAGCACACGCCTTATACCACTGCTCTGAGCACTACCAAGCACACACCTTATACCACTGCTCTGAGTACTACCAAGCACACACCTTATACCACTGCTCTGAGTACTACCAAGCACACGCCTTATACCACTGCTCTGAGCACTACCAAGCACACACCTTATACCACTGCTCTGAGTACTACCAAGCACACACCTTATACCACTGCTCTGAGCACTACCAAGCACACACCTTATACCACTGCTCTGAGTACTACCAAGCACACACCTTATAAAACTGCACCACGACATGGTCAGAAGCAATACACTCTGGGAGTCAACTGAATGTTCTGGTGTGGCTGAGCCTAACCTGGGCTCCACACAATGCACTCTGGCTTGTACTCTGGCTTGTACTGTGGCTTGCACTCTGGCTTGTACTCTGTCTTGTACTCTGGCTTGCACTCTGTCTTGTACTCTGGCTTGTACTGTGGCTTGCACTCTGTCTTGTACTCTGGCTTGAACTCTGGCTTGCACTCTGACTTGTATTCTGTCTTGTACCTTGGCGTGCACTCTGGCTTGTAATTTGGCTTGTATTCTGGATTGCACTCTGGCTTGTACTGTGGCTTGCACTCTGGCTTGCACTCTGGCTTGTACTCTGGCTTGCACTCTGGCTTGCACTCTGGCTTGTACTCTGGCTTGCACTCTGGCTTGTAATCTGGCTTGTATTCTAGCATGCACTCTGGCTTGTACTCTGGTTTGTACTCTGGCTTGCATTCTGTCTTGTACTCTGGCGTGCACTCGGGCTTGTAATCTGGCTTGTATTCTAGCTTGTACTCTGGCTTGTACTCTGGCTTGCACTCTGGCTTGTACTCTGGCTTGTTCTCTGGCTTGTACTCTGGCTTGCACTCTGGCTTGTAATCTGGTTTGTACTCTGGCTTGTATTCAGTCTTGCACCCTGGCGTGTACCCTGGCTTGCACTCTGGCTTGCACCCTGGCTTGCACCCTGGCTTGCACTTTGGCTTGTACTCTGGCTTGCACTCTGGCTTGTACTCTGGCTTGTAATCTGGCTTGCACTCTGGCTTGTACTCTGGCTTCCACTCTAGCTTGCACCTCGACTTGCACTCTGGCTTGTACTCTAGCTTTCACTCTGGCTTGCACTCTGGCTTGTACTTAGGCTTGTACTGTGTCTTGCACTCTGGCTTGCACTCTGTCTTGTACTCTGGCTTGCACTCTGGATTGTACTCTGGCTTGTACTCTGGCTTGCACTCTGGCGTGTACTCTGGCTTGCACTCTGGCTTGCACTCTGCCTTGTACTTTGGCGTGCACTCTGGCATGTACTGTGGCTTGCACTATGGCTTGTACTCAGGCTTGTACGGTGGCTTGCACTCTGGCTTGTACTCTGGTTTGTACTCTGGCTTGCACTCTGGCTTGTACTCTGGCTTGCACTCTGGCTTGCACCCTGACTTGCACTCTAGCGTGTACTCTGGCTTGCACTCTGGTTTGCACCCTGGCATGTACTTGGGCTTGCACTCCAGCTTGTACTCTGACTTGCACTCCAGCTTGTACTCTGGCTTGCACTCAGGCGTGTACTCTGGCTTGCACTCTGGCTTGTACTCCGGCTTGTACTCTAGGAGTTCTACGCTGTTCCTTAAATGCAGGAAAATAAATCATTAAGGTGATTTATCAGTAAGAAGTTCAGTCGGAGCCATGAGTAGGGTTCGAAGCTGCGCTCTGGGTAGTCCCAAGACCTCAGACCACTACGGTGCTGTAAGCTACTACAGTCCAGTCCACACACGAGGAAAAATGCTAAATAGGTAAAAATGTCAACAAAATCTACAAAAAAGTGTTACCGGATTTGGCCGCCATCTTGAAAAAAGATGGCGGCCAAAAACTTATTTGTAAAAACCTGCTTCGGACTGAGTTTAAAAATTAATCGACATATAAAATACTCTCCACAAAATATTCTACACAAAAGGAACTATACATTTTTCTAGTGCATGCAGAGTTTTGACGCTTCAGACGGGAGACTGTTCTAATTTGCTTGTTAACACCCCTAATTACGTCACAAGGAGTTACGTCACAAGGAGTTACGTCATAAAGAGTTACGTCACAAGGAGTTACGTCACAAGGAGTTACGTCACAAGGAAACTGGTCGTGTGTGCTATCTTGAAGCATGATTTGAGCTCTTACATCAACTGTTGAAATTTCTTTTGTTTCCTGGAGTAGGGACAGTTAACCTGGCATTAATTATTATTTTGAAGTAAAAAATGTTCTTATTTTGAAGAATTTTTTTTGGAGACTGTGCACAGTGTTGAGATTGTGCTCAATGTGGAGACTGCTTAGTGTGGAGACTGCACCATATGGAGACTATGCACCGTGTGGAGATTGTGCACAGCGTGGAGACTGTGCACAGTGTGATGACTGTGGACAGTGTGAAGACTGTGCACATTGTGGAGACTGTGCACACTGTGCACTTTGCGAAAATGTAAACACTATAGAGACTGTGCACAATATGGAGGCTGTGCACTGTGTGGACACTGTGCACAATGTTGAGACTGTGTACTGTGTGGACACTGTGCACAGTGTGGAGAATGTGTATTGTGTTTTGACTGTGCTCAATGTGGAGACTGTGCACAGTGTAGAGACTGTGCACAGTGTGCTGACTATGCTGCCGGAAATTCCTACACTATTTACTAATCTTTAACATAAGATGCAAGTGAAAAGTTGCTGTTTTTTGGTTAAATAAATATTAAATAAACGTAATAAATTACGTTAGTTAAGCCTACTAAGAGTTTGTGTCCGTGGCAACTTTGTACTGGAAAATGAGGCGGATTCGTCACCTGGCCCCAGAGGTGGTGGATGTGCAGGACGTGTCTAGGTTATATATATATTTAGGCTTAGAGACTGTTCACAGTGTGGAAACTGTGCACTGTTTGGAAACTGTGCACCGTGTGAAGACTGTGCACCGTGTGGAAACTGTGCATCGTGTGAAGACTGTGCACCGTGTGGAGACGGTTCATAGCTGAAAGTCTGCTCAGTGTGGACTGTGCATCGTGTGATGACTGTGCAACGTGTGGAGACTGTGCACAGTGTGGGGAATGTGAACAGTATGGAGACTGTGCACAGTGTAGAGAATGTGCACTATGTGGAGACTGTGCACTGTGTGGGGACTATGCATAGTGTGAGAATCGTAAATTGAGACGTAGATCTTGCACCGCACCTGCGACAGGTGTGCAATTGCACACCTGAAGCAGGAAAAGGCGGGCCAACGTCTCCGGGGGTTCGGGGGAGGGGGGGGGGGGTCCCCGTGGGAGGGCGTGTGTGGTGCCGCTGGCCCCTTGTGTGTCGCGGGGGGAAGAGGGGCTTGTACTCTGGCTTGCACTCTGGCTTGCACTCTGACTTGTACTCTGGCTTGTACTCTGGCTTGCACTCTGGCTTGTACTCTGGCTTATACTCTGGCTTGCCCTCTGGCATGTACTCTGGCTTGCCCTCTGGCTTGTATTCTGGCTTGTCCTCTGACTTGCACTCTGGCTTGTACTTTATCTTGCACTCTGGCTTACACTCTGGCTTGCACCCTGGCTTACACTCTGGTTTGCACTCTGGCTTGCCCTCTGGCTTGCACTCTGACTTGCACTCTGGCGTGCTCTCTGGCGTGTACTCTGGCTTGCACTCTGGCGTGTACTCTGGCTTGCAGTCTGGCTTGCACTCTGGCTTGCACTCTGGCGTGTACTCTAGGAGTTCTACGCTATTCCCTAAATGTGGGAAAATAAATCATTAAGGTGATTTATCAGTAAGAAGTTCAGTCGGAGCCATGAGTAGGGTTCGAAGCTGCGCTCTGGGTAGTCCCAAGACCTCAGACCACTACGGTGCTGTAAGCTACTACAGTCCAGTCCACACAGGAGGAAAAATGCTAAATAGGTAAAAATATCAACAAAATCTACAAAAAAGTGTTACCGGATTTGGCCGACATCTTGAAAAAAGATGGCGGCCAAAAACTTATTTGTAAAAACCTGCTTCGGACTCAGTTTAAAAATTAATCGACATATAAAATACTCTCCACAAAATATTCTACACAAAAGGAACTATACATTTTTCTAGTGCATGCAGAGTTTTGACGCTTCAGACGGGAGACTGTTCTAATTTGCTTGTTAACACCCCTAGTTACGTCACAAGGAGTTACGTCAAAAGGAGTTACGTCACAAGGAGTTACGTCATAAGGAGTTACGTCACAAGGAGTTACGTCACAAGGAGTTACGTCACAAGGAAACTGGTCGTGTGTGCTATCATGAAGCATGATTAGAGCTCTTACATCAACTGTTGAAATTTCTTTTGTTTCCTGGAGTAGGGACAGTTAACCTGGCATTAATTATTATTTTGAAGTAAAAAATGTTCTTATTTTGAAGAATTTTTTTTGGAGACTGTGCACAGTGTTGAGATTGTGCTCAATGTGGAGACGGTGCACAGTGTGGAGACTGTGCTCAGTGTGGAGACTGTGCTCAGTGTGGAGACTGTGCACAGTGTGGAGACTGGTCAGTGTGGAGACTGTGCACAGTGTGGAGACTGTGCTCAGCGTGAAGACTGTGCTCAGTGTGGAGAATGTGCTCAGTGTGGAGACTGTGCTCAGAGTATAGACTGTGCTCAGAGTGGAGACTGTGCTCAGTGTAGAGACTGTGCTCAGTGTGGAGACTGTGCTCAGAGTATAGACTGTGCTCAGTGTGGAGACTGCACCATATGGAGACTTTGCACCGTGTGAAGATTGTGCTCAGTGTGGAGACTGTGCTCAGCGTGAAGACTGTGCTCAGTGTGGAGAATGTGCTCAGTGTGGAGACTGTGGTCAGTGCGGAGAATGTGCTCAGTGTGGAGACTGTGCTCAGTGTGGAGACTGTGGTCAGTGCGGAGAATGTGCTCAGTGTGGAGACTGTGCTCAGTGTGGAGACTGTGCTCAGAGTGGAGACTGTGCTCAGTGTGGAGACTGTGCTCAGAGTGGAGACTGTGCTCAGTGTAGAGACTGTGCTCAGTGTGGAGACTGTGCTCAGTGTGGAGACTGTGCTCAGTGTGGAGACTGTGCTCAGAGTATAGACTGTGCTCAGAGTGGAGACTGTGCTCAGTGTAGAGACTGTGCTCAGTGTGGAGACTGTGCTCAGTGTGGAGACTGTGCTCAGAGTATAGACTGTGCTCAGTGTGGAGACTGCACCATATGGAGACTTTGCACCGTGTGAAGATTGTGCACAGTGTGGAGACTGTGCACAGTGTGATGACTGTGGACAGTGTGAAGACTGTGCACATTGTGGAGACTGTGCACACTGGACTATGTGTGCACAGTGTGAATACTGTGCACTGTGTGAAGACTGTGCACAGTGTGGAAATTGTGCATTTTTTGGAGACAGTGCACAGTATAGAGACTGTACTGTGTGGAGACTGCGCACAGTATGGAGACTGTGCTTCGTGTGGCGACTGTGCACCGTATGAAGACTATGCTCAGTGTGGGAGACTGCATCGTGTGATGACTGTGCAACGTGTAGAGACTATGCACAGTGACGATACTGTGCACGGTGTGGAGACTGTGTACTGTGTGGAGACTGTACACAGTGTGGAGACGCTGTATAGTGTGGAGATTGTGCAAAGTGAGGAGACTCTGCACAATGTGGAAGCAGTGCCCCGTATGTAGACTGTGCAGCGTGTGAAAACGTTGCACAGTGTAGAGAAGTGTGAAAAATGTGCCCACTGTGGAAACTGTGCACTCTGTGAAAACACTATAGAGACTGTGCACAATACGGAGGCTGTGCACTGTTTGGAAACTGTGCACAGTGTTGAGACTGTGTACTGTGTGGACACTGTGCACAGTGTGGAGAATGTGTATTGTGTTTTGACTATGCACAATCAAATCAAATCATATCAAATGTTTATTTAGGTAAGGTACATACATACAAGAGATTTTACAAAGAGTGATGGATTTATAGATAGGGCTAGTACATACAATGCCTAAAGCCACTATTACGCAAAGCGTTTCGGGCATGAAAAACTTAAATGATTCTTATGAGAAAAAAATAATTTCCGAGACTTAGAAGTTTGTTAAGGCCTTATGGGAGAAATTCAAATAACGTGTGTAGCACTTTAGGGCTTCCAGGAGAACTCTACGGACATGTTTTACATGTTTTCAACTTACAAAATCGTCTATGTAAGCCTTAGTTATTCATATAAATTTAGAAAATCACCTGTGTAAGCCATGGTTTTCAAGTCTCGTACCTCACACCCCCTCCCTCCCCCCATTACCTCGCAATCTGTCGCGTCACCTTTATTTACTTTACGCCCGGCCAGCCAGACATCGCATACAGGGTACCTCTTATCTTATCTTATCCATAATATCTGGACCGTCCCTCCTCTCTCTCTCTCTCCCTCCTCTCTCTCTCTCTCCTCTTCATATTATTCCCTCTTCCTATTTTCTGACATACTAATATTTTATTCCTTTTTCATTAACCAGTCAGTTTTATACAAATCAACCGAAGCATCTCAATGTAACCTTTAATACTGAAACTGCCTCAGAGACTATCTAAGCTGGCCCCAGCTACCTGCCCCAGGCTATCTGCCCGAGGCAATCATCACCTGATTATCTGCCCCAGACATCTACCAGTCATTGTCGGCGTTCGCCACCGTAATAATTTATATATATACATTAAGCGTTAATAAAACTTATTTATTTATTTATAATTTATTTAGTCATCTAATTCATAGTTTACACAATTTATAATAAACGACTCATTTAGCCCGAAGTTCTAAGAAGCTCGCTCCTCAATCCGCTTGTATAATATCCGTCCTATTCACTCTTCATCTCTGTAAATAAAGAATAACAGTTTCAGATAGCGTTTACACATGTACAATATTTATCAGACACATAAAACCTCAAAACAAATGTACTCACCATTTTCCGTTAGATAATTTGTTATAGCCTCATTCAGCCAGTCGTCTCCAAGCACATTTTCCAACAAATATCGCTCTTATCATAACACAGCGTTTCATAGCAGCTCGGCATATTTTTAAATAAAGCATAAGATAGCCTCATTACGTTCCTATCATTCTGCATATATTCTCCATAAGTAAAACTAGTTTCAAATAGCTTTATTGCAGTTTTTAGATCCTTGTTTGAAAGATGGTAACAGAAAAACATCGCATATAGCCCGCATACGTAAGTATTTAAACTCTGAAGTCTCTCTGTAAACGTGTATACATCACAGTCTTTATAATAATTTAAAAACTCCGAAATATATGGCGAATACACATTTATTCCATATGAATCGAGTATAACTATTTTCCGTTTAGATTTATATACAGCAATCCAGTGACCCATTACTTCCTTAGAGTCTCTTCCTAAGGTATTTATTATAAACATAATCGGCCTGTCCCGTATTTGCTTCATTATTCTATATATATCCGTCGCTAAATAGCATCCAATATATTTAGCTTTACTACCTTTCATATCGTTCAATGCCGTATTAATTTGTTTGCAGTTCATGCTCTTGTATCACACACAACTCGCCTATCGGAATAAATTCTCAATACTCCCGTTGTAATTCCGAATAAAATAATAACTTTATTTGATTTCGCTGGAACAGCAAATTCTAATGTAATTCTCAGGTTGCCCGAAGCCTCTATAGGAAGGGTATCTCTCAATTCCTCAGGCGTTAGTCTAAATGCCAGTAATGTTCTTCCTTTTATAAATGAATTATATGTCAAGGTATTGCAAGCATTAAAGCCTACTGTATTTTGAGTCTCGTAGTATAGTTTCGAACATTTATTCGGGAACTTGCAAGTTATATTAAATAAGTTTGTCCCATCACGTGTAATATATACATTAGATAAATCGCAGTGATCGAAATAAAGTGGATTAAGTGTATACGCTCCTGATATTGCTTCCATATCCATCATCATAATAAATAATTTATCTGGGATAATGCTCCCCCATGGCTGGTCAATACTTAATCTCTGCTGCCCATTACCGAGAATGAACGTCTTATGGAGTGTCTTATCAAACGTATATGTAACTGGTGTATTTTGTTCAGCCAGAGCTCTATTAATAGCCTCCAATCCAGATGCAAATGGAGTTATCCGATCAATCCACATTCTAGCTAGTTTTATGTTAAACTTATATCCAGATTCAATACTGTTTATAACCCACGGATCACTGTTAAGTTCTAATCTCAAACGAATATCAATTCCATCCAAAAGATATTCGCTCAAAGTTGTAATGTCCAATAGCAGTTTAAAGCAACAATTTACTCCCTCAGTTTTTAACTTTACAAATCTAGATTTAAGGTCTTCTGAGGCATTCTTAAAATAATCTACATCATATTTTTCAGGGAAAACATCATTATAGAAATACGTCAGTTCTTTAAATCTTTCAGCTTTACATTCAGAAAGCGTCGTCATTAGCTTTACATATGATAAATATGAAAATAGTGAATTAGTTTCCACCACTTGCTCATTTAAATAAACAGTTACAGCTTTAAACATTGTCTGGGACAAGCCATTAACTATTGATGCATTTTTAATATCCGCTAAAGCCGTAATTCCGTCAGGTCCCGTTAATTCAACCATCAGTTCTAGCGTCAAGCTCGAAAGATCAATAAATTGACCCTTAACTCCCGGGATACGAAATTCAATATAAGAATCTTTAAATTTATTGTTAATACTTGAATTCACAGGTAAAATATCCTGTGTCTGTCTTGAAAATATCGTACTTTCAACCATTCTATGAGGACTAACTTTAGGAAAGCCATCGCTTATAGCAGCTGTATAATTTTCTAAAGGAACTTGCAATGCTGCACTAGGAGCATTTACACTCATCATGTCTGCGTCTAGCATACAACTAGTACTGTTTTTATGAAAACACGTCTTTATATCTATCCATTTTCTTTATATAGGCAGGTCTTTTCGTTTTTCTTTTCGTTATTCGGCCACCTGCTAACAATTTAG